TGGAAAACGAGTAGTGACGGCCGCCACCCATGGCAAACGTTCAACGGGAGAGGTCGGTGGGGGGGGGGGGGGAGAAATGAAGAAGGAGAGAGAGAAATGAAGGAGACGAGAGAGAAGAAATGAAGGAGAAGAGAGAGAGAATGAAGGAGAGAGAGAGAGAAATGAAGGAAGAGGAGAGGGAAATGACGGGAGAGAGAGGAAATGAAGGAAGGAGGAGAGAGAAAAGAAGGAGAAGAGAGAGAGACAGGCTTTGAGCGAGCGGCGAGAGAGAAAGCGAGCGAGAGAGAGGAGAGAGAGATGAGATCGAGACTGAGAGAGAGATGACGAGAGAGAGAGAGAGAGGGACGAGGAGAGAGAGAGTGTGTAATACTGAGAAGCAACCGAGACCTTTCGAAGGAACGCCATTTACACATGAAGTCACAAGATGCTATTTTGTTTTTCCTAGTCTTTTTTCCCTCACTAGATTATGGCCTTCTTTCTTCTTCTTTCTTCCCATTCCTCTTCTTCCTCTGCCCTCTTATCCTGCTTCCTCTTGTCTTCCTTTCCCTTCTTCCCATCCCCTTGCTCCATCTTTCTCCCTCATTCCCCTCATTTCCTCATCCCTTACTTTCTCTATCTTCATATTCCGCATTCACATCTTTATCCTTTCCTCTTTCCTTCCTTTCCCCTCACCTTTTTCCCCATCGGCGTTTCTCCTCCTCTCCCCTCTCCCCTGTTCTCCCCCCCTCCTTTCTCGTAACACCTCCCCACCCTCCCCCCCTCCCTTCTCTCCCTCCCTCCCTTCCTCCCCCCTTCCCTTCCTCCCCTCCTCCCTCCCTCCCTCCTCCCTCCCTCCTCCAACTTCCTCCTCTTTTTCTCCCCTCTCCCCCTCCCTCCTACTTCCAACTCCCTCCCAACCCAGGGACAAGAATTCAGAGTGGGTGGTGTGTGGGAGGGGAGGAGGGGGGGGTGGGCGTTAACCTCAACAGGAGTCACGGGCGTTACGTTAGTGAGTGTAGGGGGAGGGGGGGTGAGATCGGTCGTAACCACGGATACGTCAAATTTGCGGAACAACGACAGGGCCAAGGGCAGGGCCAGGGGGGGGGGTCGTAGTGAGATGGAGGGGAGGTGGGGGAGGGGAAGAAGAAGAGGATGAGGGGAAGTGGGGAGGAGGATGAAGGGGAGGGGGAGGGGAAGTGGGGAAGAGGAAAGGGGAGTGGGGGAGGGGGAAGAGGAAGAGGATGAGGGGAAGTGGGGAGGAGGATGAAGGGGAGGGGGAGGGGAAGTGGGGAAGAGGAAAGGGGAGTGGGGGAGGGGGAAGAGGAAGAGGATGAGGGGAAGTGGGGAGGAGGATGAAGGGGAGGGGGAGGGGAAGTGGGGAAGAGGAAAGGGGAGTGGGGGAGGGGGAAGAGGAAGAGGATGAGGGGAAGTGGGGAAGAGGAAGGAGGGGAGGGGAGTGGGAAGAGGAAGAGGGGGAGGGGAAGGAGGGGAGGGGGAGTGGGAAAAGGAAGAGGGGGAGGGAAAGTGGGGAAGAGGAAGGGGGATGTTAGGGGATGAGGAGGAGGTGGAGAAGGGGGAAGAGGGGGAAGGCGAGAATGCCATAGGGGGGAAACTGGGGAAGGAGGAAGGAGAGTATGTGGTAGAGGGTTAGGGGGAGGGAGAGGGGGGGATAGGCGAAGGGGTAGGGGAAGGGGAGATACGATTGGGGAGTGGAAGGGGAAGGGGAAGGGCATGGAGGGGAGGGAGGAAGAATGGTGTTCACAGTGGTGTGAATTGGGCCTTTGTCGTTCAGTGTATTTGTGCGAAATGGGTCTGTGACTTCTCTCCCTAACTATTTTTATTTATTTGTAGAGCGGGGCGTCTACGATGTTTTTTTGTTTGCTTGTTTTGTTTTGTTTATTTGCTTTGAAAAACGAGCACAAAGAACTAGGTCAGAGTCGCCGACTGCGAGACCGACCGCTTTCATTAAACTTTGGGAATCAGATAACAGCAGCAAAACACAACAACGGTGACAATATCAACAACAGCAATTGGACCACAAACAAAACACCTCATCGGCCACCACCATCAACAATACCATCAACAACAACCACAACAACAACAACAACAACAACATCATCATCTTCATCATCATCATCATCATCATCATCATCATCATCATCATCATCATCATCATCATCATCATCATCAACAACAACAACAACAACAACAACAACAACAACAACAACAACTACAACAAAAACAACAACAACAAACAACAACAACAGCAACCACAGCAACGTAAACAAAAGCACGATGTCCACAGACATATTTTCTCCATTAAGTCGCTCTATTAGAACTTTGATTCAACATAATGGAACGAGTGACGGCCGCACCCATGGCAATGTTCAAGGGAGTTCCGGGGGGGGAGGAGAAATGAAGAAGAGAGAGAGAGAAATGAAGGAGAGAGAGAGAGAACTGAAGGAGAGAGAGAGAGAAATGAAGGAGAGAGAGAGAGAAATGAAGGAGAGAGAGAGAGAAATGAAGGAGAGAGAGAGAGAAATGAAGGAGAGAGAGAGAGAAATGAAGGAGAGAGAGAGAGAGAAATGAAGGAGAGAGAGAGAGAATGAAGGAGAGAGAGAGGAAATGAAGGAGAGAGAGAGAAAAGAAGGAGAGAGAGAAGAGAGAGCGAGAGAGAGAGAGAGAGAGAGAGAGAGAGAGAGAGAGAGAGAGAGAGAGAGAGAGTAATACTGAGAAGCAACCGAGACCTTTCGAAGGACGCCCATTTACACATGAAGTCACAAGATGCTATTTTGTTTTCCTAGTCTTTTTTCCCTCACTAGATATGGCCTTCTTTCTTCTTCTTTCTTCCCAATTTCCTCTTCCCTCTTCCCTCTTCTCCTCTTTCCTCTCTTGTCTTCCTTTCCCTTCCTTCCCATCCCCTTCTCCATCTTTCTCCCTCATTTCCCCTCATTTCCTCATCCCTTCCTTTCTCTATCTTCATCTCCTCCATTCACATCTTTATCCTTCCTCTTTCCTTCCTTTCCCCATCACCTTTTCCCCCTCGTTTCTCCTCCTCTCCCCTCCCCTGTCTCCCCCCTCCTTTCCCGTAACCCCTCCCCACCCTCCCCTCTCTCCCTCCCTCCCTTCCTCCCTCCCTCCCTTCCTCCCTCCCTCCCTCCCTCCCTCCCTCCCTCCCTCCCTCCCCCCTTCCCTCCCTCTTTTTCTCCCCCTCTCCCCCTCCCTCCTACTCCCCTCCCTCCCCACCCAGGGACAAGAATTCAGAGGGGGTGGTGTGGAGGGGGAGGGGGGGGGCGTTACCCTCAACAGGAGTCACCGGGCGTTACGTTAGTGAGGTGTAGGGGGGAGGGGGGGTGATGTATCGGTCGTAACACCGGATACGTCAAATTTGCGCGAACAACGACAGGGCCAATGGCAGGGGCAGGTGGGGTGTAGGTGAGGAGGGGAGGGACGGTAGGGGGGGGGGTGTCCTGCGTTCGAACGGTGCTTGACGAATCCATGACGTGTTCGGAGGTGGTGAGTGACGTCACACTGCCTGACGAAGGGGGAGTGACGTATTAGCCGAGCGTCTCAAGGATGAATGACGTGTGTTTAGTGCCTGACGAATCCGAAGGAGGAGTGACGCCTTCGTGCGTGACGGTTTTAATCTGTAGACCTTGGTGGGATTATCCATATATATATATATGTATATATATATTTTTTTAGTTTTTTTTTTTTAGTTTTGGATGCTTTTTATATTTCTTATTTTTTTCTCTCTTTTTTCACTGGCTTTTCCACTCTCCTTTTCTCTCTTTTCTTTCGTTGTTTTCCCTCTTTTC